TGAGTGTGTTACATATAGCAAGATACCAGTTAAATGTTTGCGTTTTTGTTTGAGTTTCATCGGCACATGTTTAAATTGCCACTTCTGTGTAAGTACAATAATGCCAAACCACAGACTTGCATGCTCCGTTACTGCTAATGCACTTGTCACCTTGCAAACCTGAAGTAAAGCTCATAATCCTGGGTAAGATACCAATAGGAGTCCCAGGTATGTGGGGAATGCAGGACTAAATCCTTTGTGTCATAATTTACAGTTTGCATGTTACAGACACCTTTTTTCTATTTGTTTCTCATATCTGGGGCTCTGGAATACTTTGGCAGTGAAATGTAAAATATAGTGAATCAAAGACTAATGGACACGTACATTAATTATCCCAAACACAAGGAAGTAAAAACACGTTAAGCTTTTCATGTATTTTACTAGTGCAAATCTACTATCACAAAGGTTTTCAGAAAGGCTCTCAAAGCTTACCATTCATAGATGATTAGTCATGCTCCATACTGTTCTTTGATATCTGGAATGGGACTTCATTAATTTTCAGGCACTCTTAATGCATTGCATAAGGTCAGAGATTACTGGTTTCCCACAAATGAACTTTTATTCCTCCATTTAGAAGGATTTAATGGAAAGTAATATAAATGTTTCTACTTAAGAACTGCTCCTGCTGGTTCATGGAGCCAAGTGCTGATCCCAGACCACCACCTTCTGGAACACTGCAGAATCACAGGACTGCCTTGGAGACTCCTCTCTGCAGGAGTCTGAAAAGGACTGGAGACCAGGGGAGTGGTCAGGGGAAACGTCATTCACTGCACACTTGTCCTGCAGATTGCCAGACAACTGCTGGTAAGTGCCATTCAAACACTCATTACCTGGCTAGGAGAACCTTTGATCTAACCTGGAACAGACACTTTTTTTCCCTCTTATATTATCTTATAGAATAAACAATAACAGAATTTCTTAAACATAAATACAAAAGTGAGGATCTGCACAGAAATTCCTCCTTACCAGTGTAAAACCATGAAAGCGTCATTCTCCAGCTCCCTGGTGTCATAGACAGGACAGACACAGACCTGTGCACCCAGGACAGACACACCAGACACACCATGACTCCCCTGACTCAGCAGGTCTCCACACCCACCCCATCTGCTCCTCCACAGGCGTATCTTACTCAAGCAATCTGACAGGCTCATCAAACCAGCCTTACACCATGCCAGAAGCACTGAACGCAGCTTTACACCTGGAATATCATGAGGAACTTCTTGGAGGGTAACAACAGAAAGCTAGAAGATGGTTAGGGTGATAAGCTCAGTGAGAGACTCTCCACTCCTTCTGAAGTGGGCACAACAATCAGTCTTAGAAAAAATATTTAATTTGGTTTACTTAATTGTAATCAGATTATCCTTTGGTTAAATATAAACAAGTAACTATTTTACAGTGCACAGAGAGGACTTTCAAGTGTATTGGCTCATTAACAAATTTGTTTCACAGGGTGCTACTGATATCCCAATAAATCACACTACAAGAGATGCCATGATCTCATCAAAGTCAAGGGCAAAAAGTCATGTTGACTGAGCAGAGGATGTACTTGGCCTTAAAAAACAGGGAGCAAAGTAGAGTAGGTCCTCACTCTGTCTTACATTACATGGGGGTACCTCTAAGATACGGCTGTGCCATCTTAGATCAGTTCCTACCAGCAAGCACAACTGACTCTTGCCTGTTTAGTAGTCTGACTTCTCCCCACGTCTGAGCTTGGTGCTAACCTTCCAGGCAGAAGTGATGGAGCTCAAAATCGTATGAAAAGTTAGTATTGTACTTTAAATAGTACACAGATTTGTATTTTAAAAGCTTAACAACCAAACTATTACTAGTGGATTTTAACTAGAAACTGTAAATGAAGATTGATGGTATCCTCTGTCAATTTTGGCTTCTGTTCCTTGGATTGGATGCTTACCAAGCAATACTGAGGGTGTGAACATTCAGGCTTGTGACACACCCGTGAAGAAAGCAGGGAAGCACAGTTTACGGCTGGAGCCGCTGCTCTGCAGCGCTGGTTGCTGGCAGAGCGCCTTACAGACGGGGGCACTGCTGCTCCAGGAGCTTTGCAAGGGAAGAGGCTCACCCTTCCTCCAAAGCATTGGCTGTGTTATTTCGTCAAATGGAAGCAAAACCCTTGCTCACTTGCCAGTGTCCCCCGCAGGGGCAAGAGAAGAGAAGACCTCCAAGCTGAGTCTCTGCTCGTGATGGCGGTGTGGGACAGAGCAGGAGCTGGCAGCTGTAAGCACCCATGAGCTCTCAGCCTCTGCACTGTCGCCCTGCTCTGCACCCAGAGCAGTAAATAACACTTACATAGGACTTGAATATATGTTTCACACACTGTCTGTGGTTTCACCACAGCTTTTGTATTCACCTAATGAACAACAATTAGAAGGAGGAGAATTAGTTAATTCTACCCTACATACAGCAAAGTCCTGATGCAAATGTGGGCAAACAAACATGCAAAAAGAATGCCTGTGTTTCTGATACTCTCTCTTCATCATTTTTCTGGACCACTAACAAACTTTCCAAAAAAAAACAAACTACTTCTCCCAGAATAAAAATAAATACTTTACTTAAATTAAAGAATAGTGTAAATTAACAATATCAAAGATGGAATCCCTATGTGCTGCCTATACTAGCATCTAAGTATTTTGTGACTTTGTTATCCCTAACCAGAGCTGCTTTCATAGGCACTGCACTCAGGAACCCATGAGGAATTTTGAGACATTTATTTCTTCTAAAGAAGCAATACAGAAAGTCAGTGACTCGTGCCTCCCAAACCTCAGTTTTGGGAGCATCTGAGCTGTGATATACCTACCATAGTTGAGGAACAGAACTGTCTTCACTTGGTGCTCAGACCTACAAGGTGTTTTGCTAAAGCGCTGGCCTCACTTCCCTTCTGATGGATGTAGAGGGGAGAAGAACATCTCTCAAACACACAAGACACCATGATTTTCAGTGCATGACACCATGGCAGCTGTGGACAGCAGTCTCAGAGGAGGTGCCTGGCTTTCAAGTAGCTGAAGGCAAGTTAAGCCCCAGGCAAATGTGCACAGTGCTATAGGGAATGTTGTGCCACACATGGGACACAGAAGGAATCAGCTACCAAGTTTCTCCCCCAAATTCCCTGGCTGCATACCTGAGTGTGCCTCATTCCCAGGCTAATGTACTGCAAGAGTGAGACTGAACCAGTAATCCTCAAAGCCACTGCCTTCATCTCAGGAGCAGAATGAAAGGACAGAGAATCAGTAACAGCAAAAGGGCAGGTAAAACTATGGTATGTCATTGACTGAATTGGGTAGAGGAGGGTGGGCGATCCAGCAGTAGTGCCCAGGGTCAGAAATCCTGTGTACACAGAGGACAAAGGGCCTCTTGTCACATGCAGGAAGGTCACTTTTGTGGTCTTTCAAGATCACTAGGGGTGACAATTTGCAGTCAAAATTCCCAACCAGAGACATATCCCAGTGCCTCCTCCATGAAGTCAGGAGCTGTGGCAGCTGTTTGAACAGAGTCAATGCATTAGACTAGACTAGACTGGACTTCACCTGCTGGTGCCACCCCTGGAGCCAGCCTCCCACCAAGGAGATGCCAGTTAGGAGCTGACCGTCTGCATGAGTAATATTCTGCTCCCAGATTGCATAGACAGCACTTGTCATACGGTGGGTCCTTTCTCAGTATTAACAAGGTTGGCCTGAGACAAGGCAAACCACAAACCAATCAGTAGTAGAGAAAAGAGAAACAGCCTGTCTCTGGATTCTCTGTCCTACCACATCATGCCTCTTCACAGTTAATCAGATCAGCAGATCATGCTGTCACATTCTGGAGAGTTTCAGCTCTGGTGTCTCATTTCAAGCTGTTGAGTCTGTGTTGCTTCCTGGACCATGCGATGCTTTCCCAAACACGTAGTTTGAATTTATGTTCAGAAGGAGGTGCTCGGGATGTGAATGAGCTCCAGATACATGTCATATCCACATGTAGGATATGTCTCTAGGATGTGATGTATTCATAGGAATTGGTCAAAACCGCAGTCAGTGCTGGTAATCTAGTGCTGAAGGTAAATTCCAACTCAGTACACTTATTATTATTTCTTTCACAGAAATAATGTAGCAAAAAGCAAAGCTCACCAGGGTCCCCTCCCCTTAAAGTTCAAAGTCTGAGTTCTCAACTTAGGAAGGCAGAGCCCTGATCAAAAATGAAGTGTGAAGACAGTTTGGCAGATATTGGGTTTGAAGTTATGGGGTCTGACATCCCCTGTTACCACGGTTTAATCTAAGCCAGCCCCATGCAGCCCATTGTGGGAAATGGGAGAGAATTGAAGGAGTAAAACTGAATTAACTCAGGAGCTGAGTTAGACAGTTTAATAGGGAAAGCAAAAGCTACATGCACAAGCAAAGCAAATCAAGGGGATTTATTCACCACTTTCCATGGGCAGACAGGTGCGTTCAGCCACCCCCAGGACAGCAGGGCTCCAACACACACAACTGTGACTTGGGAAGACAAATGGCATCACTCTGAACATCCCCTCCTTCCCGCTTCGTCCTCCAGCTTTACAGGCTGAGCATGCCAGCACATGGAGCGGGATACCCTGCAGCCATTCCTGGGCAGCTGTCCTGGCTGTGGTCCCCCCCAGCTCCCTGTGACCCCTCCCAGCTCCTCGCTGGTGGGACACACTGAGGAGCAGGAAAGGCCTTGACACTGAGTGAGCACTGCTCGAGAACAGCTTAAACATGCCAGTGTTACCAACACAGCCGACCTCCCAGCCAATCCACACCTCAGCCCCACAGCACTGCTTTGCAGAAAATGAATTCTACCCAGCCCAGACCAGCGCAGCCGAGCACCGCGTACGTGCCGCACCGTGCTGTTGCAGCCAGCACTGTCCGCTTCAGCCGCGGCAGTTTGCTGCCAGCTACCGTCCCTTCATTGTCCCTTAACCACCAGTACCTGAGCGGGCCCGGCCGAGCGGGGCCGCCCGCCCGCCGCGCCGCCGGGCTGCGCGCCCGCTCTGGCGCTCGCTGGGGACATGGCATTTTCCAGCATCTCAGGCGGGCTTCCAGGGGCATCTTTTTAAGAGAGTCCGTAACAGAGTATAATGTTTCCATCAGGCTCTTGCCTTGGCAACCACCTGCAGCCGCAAAGCGAGTTTAAATCTCAGAGGAAGAGTGGTGACAGCTATCGTTTCACTATGTGCTGTAATGTGTGAGATTCTACCCTGAGAACCCTGGAGGTGGCATTTGTCTGGTCTGGTTGTACGTAATGAGATAGATCGCAATGGATTTCAGTTCCTCATCCGTGTTTGACCAGCACAAAGGTAAGTCACGTGCTGCTAATTTCAAAATCCTCTGGTCCTCCGACGTCCCAAGCAAATGTACTAAGGTTACTTGACAGAATCAATAGCATTCATTTTTGGGAAAGATTAGGTTTATTTTGGTTTCATGTAAAGGAATATCTTCCATCAGTTTTAGACTGGATGGATATTTCAGTCTTGCTACAGTGATTTCAAAAAATTAATTTTCAGCAGAACAGCAACAGTATCTGCAGTATCTGGCTACTCTTATGGTTAGCACTGATATATATATATATTTGTCTTTATATTGTATATTGGTCTTTTTGTGTTTATAGATATTAAGAACAGTTACAGTACTAGCAAACAGAGCAGTTTTAAATGGAGTAAAAAATTTAAGAACAGCTGGTTTTACGGAGTCTACACTGAAAGGACTAGAAGCTGACAAGTGAAATACTTTGCTGTAGGAAATTTATCTGTATAGGCCAGTATTGCCATAATTGCAAATTTAAGATATCATTACATCCTCAACATAAAGATTTTCTTCATTGTAAGGTTGCTATGGAAATACAAATGTCTCTTTCATGTCTATTTTGAAGTTAAATGTTAAATTTCATGTCTTTATTTGCCAATACAAGCTTTTATGTCTTACGGCTTAATCCACTACAAGTATAGCAACATTCCTTTTATGTTCCCAAAGCAGGACACTGTCATTGCCTGATTATGCCTGTTGCAACAAATTTCCCTTCTAAGTTGGCTTACCAAACAGTGCTTTACTTTAGTGCAAAATATGTGTGCAGTGGCCACAGTTTCCAGTTCAGACCTGCAAAATATCTGAGCTGATGTGGCCACAGAGGCTCCACAACAAAGGGGCTGATAGTGGAACAAAAATAAAAGCAGGAGGAAGACAAGGCGCTGACTTTTGGGAAGCCGAGTGCTACAGGTTGTTCTTCTATGCTTTCCTATACCTTCCTTGGTGAATCCAAAGTGAATACAGCCCATATAAAGCGGTGGGTTTATCACTGCCCTTCAGCCACAGTAGCACTCAAAACCTGAGCAGTCTTGGGAGTAGTGGGAGATGAGTGGGAAGTAAAACTGAGTGACAAGAAAGAAAAATCTATTACCAACAAGTATAAAGGAGAAAGGGAAGTGCAGTGGTAAAATGGGGAGTTTTACTGCAGGAATAGAGACGGGTATTCCTAAATCACATGTGGATGATCTAAGGAGCATTTTTCTCAACAGGACAGAGGTGTGGGGATGACTGAGCTTCTGCAGCCCCAAACAGCCATTCCAACCTCTGCTTCTGCAGCAGTATGAGTCTTCTGTGCCACATGCCAGCCCAGCAGGGCTCGGGGTGGGGAGGCAGAGGTGAAATCCTGCATGCTCAGTGCCATCGGGATGGCTGCCAGGGACCAATGGAAGTGGTGCCAGGAATGAGGATGGAATATCGCTCAAAGCCAAGTCCCAGATGGTTTAGGGGTCAGAAAGCAGTGCAGGAGATCTTGGACCCAAACCGGTTTATCCAGATAGAAGGGATAGAGTTGGGAGGCAACATCTACCTTTACCTCCCCTTGCTCCTAATCTGCCCACCCCCGCCCCTGCTGCCAGGCCACCCTTCACACTGGCCCATCCTAATTTCTGTCCAGAATCACCTGCAGCCTGTGTCACTCCCCACCTGCATCAGCTCCCCTGCCAGAAGGTCCCTTCGCTGTGCATTCACCACCTCTGCTTCCCCAGCGCTGCAGGAACGCTTGCTCATTAGGTGCTGTGTGATTTACTGCCTGCCTTCCCTGGTAGCTGCGTGGGAGGTGGATGGGAAGCAGGAGCACAAAACACACAGTAATGGGATACTGAGCTCACTGGCTGCTCTGCAAAGAATACTCTATTCAAAACTTACAGTGTATAGTGGATTTTGTCTGAATAGTATCTTGTGTTGGCACATTATTGATTTAAGCAGGCATCATTTTTTTAGAAAGGAGGAGGGAAATGTCTTTCATTGCAGCAATTTATAACAATGGAAGAATACAAACTATTTTTCAAACACACTAAAAATTTCTCTCTGTTGGTCCAAAAAAATAATTCATCTCTCCACACAAACCCTTTTTTCTCCATCCCACACATCAGAAGACTCTCCCACCTATAAATAAAAAGAAATCCCCAGCATTCCAAGTTTGAAAATCATACTATCTCTTTGCAACTCTTTTACTCAGTAATGGCTCATAATACTTACAACAGTAACAGAAATGTGGGACTTACAGAAGACAAACAGCACCAGAAACCCTTCTCTCCTAATATTGCTCGGTGCCATTTAAATAAATGTGGCTGTGCCTGATTTCAAATGTTTACTAAATAAACAGAGAAGCCAGACAAAGGCCTGTACTGGTGCATGCACTGCCAGGCACACACAGGGATTTGTTAATTAAAATAAATTTGTTCAATTTTGTTAAATGTTCAATAAAAATGCACTAGTAGAGAATAAGTTACACTTTTCAAAAACTGTCCCTTCTGCTGACCCTGGACACTGATGTGCTGAAAACCAATAAACTACACATTTTTTTGTCCTGACATTTGTATTGTGTCCTGAGAACAAGGTGTAGGAAATCATATATGGCCTTTGGCTAGTGGTGGAGACAAGAGGAATTATGAGAGAGAGAGAGTAGTAAATTACATGCATAAATAGTTCTTTTTCACAATGAATGTGAATTATCCTATTATTCTGTCTTCAGTTTTTAATATCTTTGGTTTACCAAGTCCAAAATCAATAATTGTCATGTACATGTACGTAAGCATGTACACTAAGCTCCAGCAAATTTACACAGAACTTAAAAGTCCAGTGCGCTAGAAAGCATGCACTTATGTACATCTAATGTGCACTTTGTAAAACAACAAATCAGCCAACATCACAAATCATGTAAAACATGCATTCTTCATAGTACATCAGAGGAGAATTAAGAAGGAGAATTAAGGTAATGAGAAGCACAATTTCACTGCTCTGAATACTGTAATAATTCTCTTTTTATATACCCCTGTTTTGATCAAAAGAAAACTACTTTGCCTTGAAGAAATTATACATTCTTAAAACACTGCAGGCTATTTCAGATAGATTGGTGTTTGACTTTGATTGTTTCTGAAGATTTTAACACTCTGTATGTCATTTAATCTTTTCTTCCAGATCTTTCTACACCACTACTGTAGCCTGCAGTCTCTCCCTTGCCTTTCTCTATACACAAGCACTTAAATGGATCTTTTCCCTTTCTGAATCTGACTGACAGCTTCCTTTCACCAGTATCACAGCAATTCTGTAAAATGTAAAATGTATTTGAAATGGGACCGTACTTAGTGGCATTTCTTGAAGTGCAACTTAGTAATGAAGTAACTCTAACACATTAGAGGGCGAAGAGTCAGGCATTTGGTTGTTTACAATCTCTTTCTGCCTCATGGTGCTTGTGACCCAGCCACAGCAAAGCCCCCAGCAGGGTAAGCTCACAGAGGGTGGGACACAGGCACTCAGTACTTCACTGTTGCCTTCTGCAAAATGCCCACTCTCTGAACCATTCCTTTTCTGCCCAGGAAGATGTCTTCAAAAATAAATGTTCTACTAGCTTTGCCCCCTTACTTCTCCATTCCTTGACAGGGTAAGCTGGAGGAAGATGAAGTGGTTGTGTTGTTCCCCTGGAGCCAAGTGCATCCAGCACAAATGACACCCAAGCTCTTCCATCATTTTCTGCTCTCTGTCATGTGAAACGTCAGAGCACAATTTATCTGTCTTCCTTCTCACTCTCCATCCACAATCACACAAGTCAAGATACACCACTTGAAGTTGGGTCACCCCTACAGAAATGGAATTCATGTCAGTCATCTTTATTCAGATCCCAACAGAAGCTCGTGGCCCAGGCTGCCAGGCAGGGTGATAGCCTGCTCCTCCTGCTTCTCCGTGCGCTGGCAGATTGGACTTGTGGGTCGGGAAGTGTAAGTCTTTGTGGCTTCATGCCACCATCCTTTAACTGGAATGGAGCTTGTGTTCTGCAAGAAGAGGCAGGGGCAAAACTTCATTCATTTTTCCATCCATCCATCCATCCATCCATCCATCTATCCATCCATCCATCCATCCGTCTGTCCGGCCGTCCACAGTTTTACTTCCCCTCCGTACACACAAGGGTAGTAGCTCTAGGGAAAGGAGACTGAGCCCAGCAGAAGCAAATCCATCCATCCGTCCGTCCGTCCGTCCGTCCGTCACATCCGCCATCCACAGTTTTACTTCCCCTCCGTACACTCAAGGGTAGTAGCTCTAGGGAAAGCAGACTGAGCCCAGCAGAAGCAGAGGGGGAGTGTCTTGGCTTTACCTAGAGGAAAAAGGGCAGAGATGTTCAGAGACCAGCATGAAGGAGTGCACCCTTGTCCTCATCTTCCTGCCATAGCGCCCTCCAGGTAAGCAACTGCTCTGCTCAGGAGATGGAGATTTCCCTTTTGTGGCTAGATTTCTCTGCTTCTGACTCACAACAGGAATACTTAACAAGACCTACAAGGCAAAAAAGGAGTACAAAATTTACATATGCAGTGCATCAAAGGAGGTGAGGGCCCCTTTGATTCACTGTCTGCTTCACCACATCTAGCAGTTTCTTTCCCAGTGCTAGCAGCATCTTCTCAGTACCACAGCTGCACAGCTGTACACGACAGCAGCCGTCCGAGGAGCCAAATCACTGCTCAGGGCTGGCACCCTGTGTGTACCTCCAGAGACTGGAGGACAAGAGGAGTAGCACAAGCTATCAACCAGTCAGACCTGAGCTTGTCATTAACCTGTTTTTGCTGAATGTACCGATTGTCAGAGGCATCTTCAGGTCCAATGTAATAAGGAAATACTCCTAACTGAACCAGTGGTGAAGTGACTTCTTTTTCTTCATGTACTAGTCACTAATGATGACTCTCCAGCAGCAATGACTTCTCATCTCTCTAGATTTCCCAGGCCCACAGGACAAACCTCCTGAGCCAAATGAACAGTTGCCTCAGCAACAGACCCCTCAACAGAATAAAAATCAAGTTAACATTTTTATTCACAAACTTTATGAAGTGTGTAATTTAAAGTACCAGTTAGAAGAAAGAAAATTAATTAGATTCTCTTTAGCTGTGGAGAAATGGAGAAGGACTCTGTGACAAAGGCAGATTAACATCAGCTTTTTAATTTTCCCAAGCCCACAAACAGAGTTCCAGCTTTGACAGACTAACCCATTCCAGGGTAAGAGCAGATTGTGTTTCCATGGCAGCCAAATTTTGAAGTCCAGAGTACTGATTGCACCCAGTGAGAGAAAATCATGTGCGGAATTAGGCTAGGCTGTGAGGTCTAGCGTAGAGCTCCTGTAAGTTCATCTGAGACATCATCTGATCACAACATGAATAGTGTGGCTAATACTTTACAGCAATATTTATAGATCTTTTATCACACAAAAAATATAAATAGTTATGCTATCTCCAGAAGTTAGACAGTACAGATAAGTCACCAGTCACTTAATCTGTCTTTCCTTTGGTCAACTCTGTAGTGTGATTTAGGCACATTCTCCAGCTAACAAGGTAGTGGAGTGGCTGGACAAGTGATACGTTTTATAGCTCTGACCCTGTCCTAGTTTAGCCTGGAACAGAGTTGATTTTCTTCTTAGCAGCCAATACAGTGCTGTATTTTGCATTTAGTATGTTGAAAACAGAGTGGTATTTTAGTTGTTTTTAGTTACTGCTTGCCCTAAATCCAGGACATTTAATGTCCTGTGCTCTGCAGCAGTCGGTGCCCCAGAGGCTGGGGGAGCAGGGCCAGGAGGGCTGACCCGCACCTGGCCAAAGGGATGTTCCATGCACAGACTGACGTGGCCAGGGTGTGAACTGGAGGGAGCTGTAGCATGACAGGCTGGGCATCGGTCAGCAGGTGACGAGCAACTGTATTGTGCATCACTTCCTTTCTTGGCTTTTATTCATCTGTTTCTCTCCTTCTATTACAATTATTAATGATGATGTTGTTCTGGTGGTGGTGGTGGTGGTGATGATGATGATGTGTTATTTCAATTATTAAACTGTTCTTACCTTAACCTAACAGCTTTACCATTTTCTGATTCTCCTTCCCACCCCACTGGGGTCAGGGCAGTGGCTGAACATTGGGGGCATCTGGGGTTAAACCCCAACAGACCCTCCACCATGGTGAACAGTACAGCTCACTGCAGCTGTACTTACTTTTGAGTTAATAGGAATAAGAAACTGTTTTTGACCAGCAATACATATCTAGAGCATTTTATCATTACATCACATTTGATCCTGCACCCAAAAATCTACTCTTTTGACTCCTAGAGTTAAAAGGTTAATAGTCCACTTGAAGGCAAAGGAGGTGCACGCATGTGGAGCATGACATGACAAGTCTGAAAAGAAGTTAAAAGGAAAGAAGCAAAGAGAATCTTATTTCTTTAGAAAGAAAAGCCTGAGGAATGTTCCAGAACAGGTCCTGCAAGGCATCTGCTTTAAATAATAACTCACACTGTAGCTGCCAAACAAAATAAACCTCTCCTGGGTTCCAAGCAATAGTCCACTTTTCCTTTTTGCAGGAATTATCAACACAAACCATTGCTGCCAGAAGTTTACTCTCCCGAGAGGAGAATTCCCTTGGACATTGCAGGGAAGTGAAAAGCCTCAGTCTTCTGACTGGTACAAGGATAACACTGAAATTGAAAACACCTGAGTCCTGATTTCCTCCTATCTCATAAAAGTGCAGCCAGAAATATTACGAGCTAGTTCAGTTATTACATTTTTTTCTCAAGTCATGTTACGTTAGTATGATTTCTTACAAGAAGTGGAAACTTTCCAGAATTTTTCTTAAGTCCTTTCAGTGTCTAAGTTTGAAAGTTTTTGGAAGAAGTTATGATGAAAAGCAATTTTCAGATGACTAACAAAAACCACAGTGCTGTTTAGATACACTTTGTTCCACCCCAAGTTACACAGTCATATAAACTCAGTGAGACAAGTGTCATTATTTTTCCTGTTTATCATTTGTACTTGCTCTCTGTTTGCTCATGGATGTGCTCCGTGTCTGCAGCTGATGCAGCAGAAGAGATGGACTTGGCTGTGGTTTACCAAGCGGCAGCTAATGGCGATGTGAACACCCTGACTGCAGTGATCCGAGAGGATCCTTCCATCCTGGAGTCTTGTGACAGAGAGGGTAAATGAAGGCCGAGCTTGTTCTCAGGAGAACCGTTGCTTCAGCTTGCAAATTAAACTTTCCATTTTTTTATTCTGACTTTTTAGTTCAGCAAATTATATTTAGTAGCAGAATATGGGAAATTTGAGTTATTCTTTGGAACATCCACTGGAAATGCACAGTTTGGATAATTCCTTCCCCCTGTAATTGTAAGATATTTTCTTATGATTACAAATAAGCTGTTTTGCTATAATTAGACAGTACTTTACCATTTATTTAGTTTATCTTATTTAGGGGTACGCTGAGAAACTGCTGACATTTCAGGGGAGGAAAGAAAATACTTTTACCAATGCCAAATGACATACATTCTGGACATCTCTAAAGCAGAGGTTATAGTATGTGTACAGTCACAGTTTGAATGGTTTTGTCAAGTAATTTTTTTGCCAAAGGATACAATGTGCAATTATCTAAATGATCCGTTTTATCTGTCAGGCTGTGCTCATTTTGTGTTCAAGTTACTATTTAATGTTATTACAAATTATTGTACATTGGCTGGGTTTTATGTGCATCTGTTTCCGAAGTGAGTAAGAACCACAGACCTCTGGAAGCTGTTCTCAAGGACAACTTTCTTTTGTCAGAAGTATTTTTTTAATTGCAGTTTCTTATAAGGGGTGCATATGAACATTGTCTTTTCTAATCTTGAACAGCTTTTACCAAGCTACCAATTTTTCATATACTCTAAACCAGGCATTATTACTGATATCTTTAGAAAACCTACAGGTTAGTGGAGAAAATTTATGTAAGACAAAACGGTCCCTGTCAACTCATTAATGGGAGAAAGACTAGGTATGAGTGGTGGGTGGAGTAGGAGGAGATGGACTGGCCAGGAGTACTTCAGCTCTGGAACTATCTTGTCTCCTAGGCTGTCCATGCAAATGTAGCTAAAGAGCAGTATTCCAGCACAAAACATACAGCTCATACCCTGCACATTTTTTAGGGTCTGCATGACCTCAGGTTAGGTAGCACATTTCCTCAGCAATCTCATTGAGTCCAGTAAGAATAATTATTCTTCAACTATAGATGAAGTTTCTAGTAGTCTTATAGTTTCTAATACTTTTGTTTAATCCCAGCCTAGCAATTTTAAAATGCTTTGTTAGATTGTGCAGGAAAATCTCTCGCTGTTTTTCAACAGTTAACAAAATGGAAGGAAGAGGAAGCAATTAAATGGTACAATACTTCATGAAGAAATTTGAGTATTAGGTTTAAGTGGAGATTTCAGGGTTTTTTCAAAACAGAAAAGTTTTGCAGAATATTAAAAAACCTCTTATAAAAACACAGGAAATAAAATATCCTAGAGCAAATCCAGACTTCAAATTAAGTTGTTCTCTGCATAAAGGGCCAACTCACACTTTTATACCTTTGCAAGGGACACGGCCTGATTTCGTAAGTCTTTTGAATGTACAGACATAATGAAGCTGGGGTTTGAGAAAATTAGACAAGCACCATCTGGTTACTAGTCATTCTGAAGGATATTAGCCTCCAAAATGTTGTACAAAGGCAAAAGTTCATTTTGGGAACTTCTCAACAGAAAAGCACTTTTCTCTCCAGAAGCAGAGTTAATGAGGCAAAGCTTTTGCTAATATAGTCATGCTCTTTTTAAAATCAGTGGTCAGTGACTGTCATAGAAGTTACTTCCTGGCTAAAAAATAAGCTGAGTACCACTATTGGACAGTTATCAGAGAAAGGATTTGTTAGCTTGCCAGTGTTAAGATTAGAAAATAAGAAACTATATCTTATAGACATGACACAACAAATGGTAAAATAAATTTGGCTTTCTTCCCCAGGTTGCACACCTTTGATGCATGCTGTGTCAGGACGCCAGGTTGACACAGTGAAGCTTCTGTTGAAGATGGGAGCTAATATTAATACTCAAGATGCTTGTGGACGTACCAGTTTATCTCTGGCAACTTACTTGGTACCAAGACTTGGGGGACAAGGATGGAGTGAAGGGAGTAAATGTGCAGACCAAATAAGATTTCTGCTTATACTACAGGAACGAAAAAAAAAAGCACAAACCATTTGGTTCTAGACGACAGTGGAACTGGTTTTGAAACTTTACCACAGTGCAAAGCTGAGCAATGATTATTACAAGAGGATCAGGACTCCTATCAGACACTCCTGTCAGAATGTCCTTTCTCTTTTGGCTTATAAAATAAATGCATGATATGAGGATCTCACAAGAAAATAGCTTTTTTTTGTACCCTGAAAGTTCCCTCTTGTTCTTATTAGGCAGATTGACTTCTCCTCCTTGCATAGCTGGCATTAGATATTTATGCTCTAGGGAGGGCTTTCCTGTCTCAAACTCTGGTGATCAGCAGGCAGCTGTTACTGCACACTTGATGAGCAAGGGCATTGCTTCTTTTCGCTGTGGTGCTGGACTCTGGGTGGCCAGGTTGAGGACTGAAGTTCTAGGTGCTGCAGGTGCTGGTGCACTTGCTCAGATCACAAACAATCCAGTCCCCTGATCAACCTACATCCACGTGATAGGAGGGGCATACATCCCACTGAGACATTTGGGAGAGGAATTGTACTTCAGAATCTGTCTGAAGCAACAAGGATAGTCCTTTTCTCCTTAGTCTTCTACTCCTTGCAGCAGGTAATTCAGGTTTCAGAGAGAAATTGGGGAGCAAGTTAGCCCAGACTGGGCTTCCATTATTAATTGGACGAAAAGGAAGAAGGGGTGTGCAGCCATGGCTGCACAGTATGAGTTAAGCTGGATGACTGCCAGCTCATTTAAACAGACACTGTGGCAGCCTAATTAAATGACATCCCTTGCACGTAGTTTCTTCCTGAAAATTCAGAACAAAAACAATGTTCCTGCTTAGCTATGCAATATTCAGGCAGAAAATAAGTGTAGAAAATAACAAAACAGGCAGTCTCATCCAGTGCAAGGAGCATGCCCCACTTAGTTGACAACAAACATTTCCTCTGCAAGATATTTAAAAAAAAATCCCATAATAAGTGTCACGCTTCTTTTTTCCTTCCTCTTTTCCCGGAGGGGAAAAAATATTCTTTGGAAAAAAAGAAATGACTGGAAAAGATTTGAACCACCCAGGCTTCTAAGTTTCCATTTCTCTTTCTGTGAGGGATATAACGAGAGGTCCAGAGAGAATTCTGCTGTGATGTCTGTCCAGACAAATGAATTCAGGAGAGTTGCACAGTCAATACTGTGTGTGGCATTTGGTGGTCACCAAGAGCTCCAACAGGGGTGTTCTGATTCCACCATTCCACACATTTCCCCCAGCAGTGCCTGTAATGCCAATCCAAAATAGCTCATATGAGAGGGAATGGTCTTTGTCAATTGTCTGCTGTAGTTTTAACAAAACACTTAAACTCATGCTTGATTTTCATCTGACTTAAGTATATGCTGAAAGATTTATGCAGTCACAACCAGACTGTTTACTTGTTTTTATGTTGAGGTGATCAACAGAAGGTTTTAGTCCAAGAACTGATTCATCCCATGTTTTGGTGCTATTTTCAGTCTAACACTGCCACTAGTACAAACTTCTGCAACAACATTTATAAGACCACACTCTAAGGCTTTTTACCATTGATTTGCCATCTTTGCTAAAATCTCACAAACAAAATCAGATTGAGTGCTCATGTCCTTTGTTTAATCTAGCATGATTGAATTCACGTTCAAAAATGTGTGTAGCATCTGCTAATGATACAGGAATTAGCCGGGTTTTAATCACTGTTAGTGCTTGCCGCAGATACAGGGGGAAGAGAAACAAACAAACAAAACAAAAAACAAACAAACAAAATATACAGTGTAAATTAAACACCTCATCTGAGAAATGAATAACTGAGGTAGTTTGAGACCCAAAGGGGCACTACTTTCAGTGCTGAGAAACCTCTGAGGAAAAAAATTCCAGTTTCTCTGCTGACAGAAATGGCTACAGTCACATGAGAATGCCAGGACCACCAGCAAGAAAAGATCTGGCCTTATACTTTTGACTTTACTCGTTGATATGCTCCAATTTATTTTTTAGGGCTGGCTGGAAGGCTGTGTCAGCCTGCTCAGGAATGGTGCTAAGCAGAACATACCTGACAAGAATGGGAGGTTGCCACTACACGCTGCCACTGCAGAGCCTGACGTGAGGTATGTGCCTGGCTCCCCAAGGAGAGCCCACAGCAGGAATAGCAGTTGTGACAGCTACACTTGTGACCTGTGTCTTTGTTTAGTGGTTACCATGAAGGGGCTTGAGAGGAGGAAAAACATTGTGCAATACTTGTGTACCAGAGATCGATGGCTGGGTAAAGAGAGGAGCCTGTTTTAATATTGCAATAGCTGGAGGAGGGAAAATAATTAGAAGAGAGATTGAAACCCTATGTTTCCCCTGCCCAGCTACCTTTCTGTCCTACCACATGAAATATTACAAGGACTTCTCCTCTGAGTAGCATGGCAAATGTGAGAAAAGTTTTCCACAAGACAACCTCTCTGAAAATCCCCAACCATAAAGGGGAAGTTAAGGACTGGTGGTCTGGCTCATTTTTAACTACTTTTACTGAAGGTAGAGTAACAGCTACAGAGTGTCTTCACAAGAACTCTGAAGAAAGATTCTCTTTTTCTTATTCCAGCCTGTGACAGTAGTACAGTTTAATAAATTTTGATTTGTAAAGCTGAATAAATTCACTCAAAAAACTCCCCTAAGTAAATCATGCCTGAAGGTACAGAACGGCATTAGAAACAGGTTAAACATTCAGTACATGCAATTAATGTGACATAATCACTGAGCCTATTATTTTGTTGCTGTAACTATATCAGATCAGGCCAGACATCTGGCCATTTTTGCTGATATTGTTCTCCAGTCTTTTTTAACAGCTGTATTAATTTTCCACATTATCTTTGCTTTTCATGCATCACTTGGAGAGAATAATTTGAGATTCCTGCAGAAAAAAGGTCCCTATCCTTAAACAAAGCCAACATAAGAAAAAAGACAATGTTTGTACAACACCACACATGTTGCTACTTGAAAGTGAACACTAATCTCCTCTACCAGGAGCACACTGCTTGCCCTGAATGTTTTTCACGTTCTCCAAGGATACAGACCCTTCTTTGCTCTGCACAGTTCTCCTTTTCCTCTGTCTTCCCCATGGGTTTGCCGCCCCATGCCCAGACACAGGCCTGGAGCACTAAGCAGAGGTTTTCCTGTCACGGTCATTGTCAGTCCCTTGTCATCCTATGTCATTGCCAAAAGAGAATATGCAATAGCCACTTTCGAAACGCATTTGTAGCTAAATTTGAAAGCTAGCAGTCCACTGCTACAACCGCACATGCTAGAGGCAGCATGGAAAGACACAGTTCATGTATTGATATGATAATTTATTTATGTGCTCTAGTGCACTCCACAGAGCCTGACAGGCAACGTGGAAAGATAATTCATTCTTGATTTATGCCTTTAGGAGTAGATAGCAGAGAAACCTCAGCTGCTTGGTTGGGTATCTACATATTTAAATGTAGCACTTACATTGCCATAATGGTCTAATGGTGTAACTGAGTCAAAGTTTGTTCATGATAAGCATTCTAGTCAAATTATTAGATTTCTTTCATATACAGTGGTGTCATTGATCATATCAGGAGTTGAACCACAGAGCCCTGTATCAGATTATAAAACTATGTGATAAATGGGTTTTACAAGCATACTATGGTTATCTCACTTTGTCTTTCCTCTCTAGTTGGTATTTACCAAGACCTATTGTCAGACACATAATTTCTGAGATTCTGAGTAATTTTGTTAATGACAACAGAATCTTTCCTCACTTTTACAAACTTCTACCAAGCCAATCACAACAATAAGAGTGTCATCCTTTTCAGATTTCCTACAGTATGACTCCATTTAGAAAAAGAGGTGTGACACCTCTTTTCTACAAGAATTTGTTTCCATATACAAATTGGTTTGAAGTCAAAGCAAAATTCCTGTGCTGGAATCTGCCCAATCATCACCCTTTAGGGACTCTACTTTAAAAAAATCCTAAATTTGGACTTTCAACACCTGAGGAAGACGTTACCTGTAGATAAGATTTTCACCTGCAGAATTGTCAAAATCATCCCTAAGCAACTGTAAATATCTTCTTTTGAATAATTTACATAGCTAGTTCTTTATTACCAGTAGGGAAGAACAAATTTGACATGAAACGTTAATTTGATACACACGCCTGAGCACAGTTCAACCCAGAAGATACACTAGAAGTGGTTGAAGATAAAAAGCAGCAAAATATTTATTCAATCTCCTCTGCATGGGAATAAATGCAGGATTTTATACATTTGTTTCTGTGTTATCTTTACATTTATCAAATTTCCTTACTTTATACTTCATTATTTTTTACTTTCCTTGCTAAACAGTATGTCTTCTTCATCTCCATGTTCTGAAGGTCTCTACCAAATTCATACCTTCAGATGAGCCACAGGTTTGCACAATGATCCACTGAGAATACATCCTTCATTTTGCTATAATCCAAAGAAGTGTACATTCATATTGGGATTGGCTTTGCTACAGCATGTGAATGGATGGAGTTTTTAATTTTCATGTTCCAGCTATGTACATGATCCAAAGAATTAATATCCTGCTGTAAAACACAACCAGCTTTGCTGAACCTATAGTGATTTTAGAACATCTTCACAAGATAGCAAAAGAATAAGAAGGTGTTAAAAATACTATTGTACTTGAATAATATTTCATTTAACTACTTTATTGTTCCCTCCACCAGACAGGAGTGCTTGTAGTCCAATATTCTATAAAATGTGAACCTATGCATTGCTATGTTTTAATAATAATAAAATATTATAAAAATGTAAATTTCTAAGATACCAAAAGCTGCACACATGTATAGTATTATACATTCTGATTGTAGCCCAGCAGTCAGCATAAGAGTTTTCTGAGTGGATCTTCTTTTAATTCCAAGTTCTGAACTTTTGTTGTTACCATAAGCCATAAAGTCCAATTTGTTTTGCTCATATGACAAAGCTCAGACCTATGAATCTGACCTGTGCCCATCACTAATACTGATTTTTCATGAAATTGCACGTTTTGTTTTTAAAAAAATGTCAGTTTTTCAAGTTTAGTCAGGCATACTGGACACTGATTATATCATTGCTTCCACAGGCTTCTGAGCTTGCTTCTGCAGCAGTCAAATCTTAGTGAAATTAATCACCAGGACAATGAGGTGAGTGAGCTTGTGCTACAAGTCACAGTCCGTGCACTGGAGGCATAGAAGCCATTCAATTTTACAATAAGACTAAGTCAAAAATTTATATAATGCTTTTGCTAAACTCTGCAAAGTATTATCTCATTCTTCCTTCTATGTAGTGTGCACCTGTAGGCTAATAAGGCTTCTCTTTTTTGAGCCAGCTATGAGGTACCTTGAATCCCGTTCTTGAATTATTTGCCAAGACAAGAATTGCCCTTGATTCCTCTGAAGTTGGACACTGGACCAAGTCTTCACCTTTACCAATCATAAGTGTTCAGGACCAGGCTGGATGGAGCTCTGAGCAACCTGGTCTAGTGGAAGGTGTCTCTGCCCATGGCAGGCAGGTTGGAACCAGATAATATTTAAGATCCCTTCCAACCCAAGCCATTCTATGATTCACTGATTCCTTGATTCCACCATTCAACTCCAGTTCTCAGGAAAATTACTGGAGAGCTGGCATTACACAGAACAGTCATGGAAGCACAAAAATTTGTGCTGTTGTCTTCCATGTGGAATTGTGTCCTGCATGTATATATGTTGTACATAGGAAAGAGTTAACTTCCCACATTTTTCTACAAATAGAGAAGCCAAGACACATAAGAGATTCTGAGTGTCATTTCATATGGTTCTGTTAATTTTAACAGTTGCTAAAGGATGTGTCTTTTCCACAGTGTCAGAATGGCCAGAGGGCTGTATATTTTTCCTCTTTCTTACCCACTGAAAGGTTTGCAGACCCTGCTCACAACACTCTAAACCAGACACATGTATTGTCTTCATGTAGAACTATGTTACTAATGAATTGCATGGAATCGTGGATCATAATTTCAAGCCATGATATTTTGCTATAATGCACTGCTATATGCAATTTGGAACCTTTAGTCCATCTCATTGTCATTTGGCACTGACAATATATTTGTTCAAGTGTCAGTACTAAGCTAAATACTCATGTTTTCTGAAAAGTATGGATCCTAATAAATTATTACAGCTAACAGAGCTGTTCTCTTGGCATAAGTAAAACACTTCAGTTTTCCCATTTGACGCTTGAGAAAAATCACCCTGATGAATGCATGAACACATAAACAGTAAGAAATACATCTGGAGGTTTCATAGCTTCCACAACCGTGTGTTCCTGTGGGTTTATTAGTGAAGCCTGTCAGATGACAATGCGAAGAAACAATCCCTATAAAAGCCTTGAATCTGAGCAAAACAAGTGTCACACTGTATTTCTCAGAGCCATTTCTTGGGGTTTGTCCTTTTGTGTCCCATATTGCTTCTCAGTTTTTACGAATGTGCAGTTGTTTGTCTGTCTGACCTCTCAGACTGTTTTCTGCTGGACCTTCAGCTTTGGCAGTTCTGATACCATTTATATTTCCACTTAAGAGCAGCAGTCTGTTTACCTACTGATGCTACTCCAGGGTGGTAGCACAAAGCACAAAGCAGTTGCCTGCTCCAGAAAGCCCACACGAGTGAGCTGCTGTAACAAACAACTCAATGTTCTTTGCTCAGCTGGGTGCTCCGAAAGGACACGTGGAATGCACAAAGTAGTAGAAAGGAAATGGAGAAGAAAACAGGAAGCTCTGTTTGAATCCTTTGTACAGCCGCATGGCTACAAGAGTAAACTGAAAAAATATATACAAGAAAAGGAACAGAAAAAGGACTACAAAGATGGTAATAGTTATAGAGCAGCTTCCTTACATGGGCAGGCTAACTAGAGCACACTAAGTACAAGACTTCTAGCTTGGCAACCTCATCAAAGGGATGATATAAACCTATGGTATCATAAATGGCGTGGAAATGAAAATTATTATTAATTGTTCTGGGAGTTTTGCATATAAAAATGTGGGGGCTTCTACAAAAATTATCAGGCAATAGTTTCAAAGAAAATGAAAATAAATACCTTTTCAGAAAATGCATCATTACCCTTTAGAGGGCTGGATATGATATGAAGTCTTTAATCTGATTACCAAAATATTAGGTGGCCTAATGACATGCATATTGTCAAGCCTTGTTTCTTATATTTTTGCACTAAGCATCTGCTATTGACCTCTCTGAGTTTTGTCATTTTATCATAGAGATTTTTGAAAACTATCCCCAGTTTTACACTCTTATGTTACAGCTGATTCTGCTGGCTACTACAGTAGAAACAGAGAGAAAGTTGATTTTTCAAGGATTTTTTTTTTTGGCCATATCAGCGCACTGAGAGAGGGTGACAGAAAGACGGCCTGGTACACTGTAGTGTTTCCTTCTTCAGAGATTTTTGTGCTCTCCAGGACCAGTGGCTAGTACCCATTTCCCAGGTGGAAATCACTTCAGTGATGCCTCACAGATAATGCGTGTCCATCAACAGTACTAGGTCCCTCATGTGTACTGACATAAATGGCAGAGCTCCCATCAATTTCAGTTGGTGCAGGAGTTTACCCTCAGTTTTGGTTTTACAAAACCGAAACTCCCATGATTAAGCTTTGCAAACACTAACTAAAACCAAAACTCTCATTCAACTGCTCTGTTTTGTTATCACCCATTCTTAAGCCACATGGGAACTTAAAAGTCGTATAAGATATGGGATGACTGAGAGAAATTAATGCTAAGGCGTTCAGGTTTTTAGTCAGAAAATCACTGCAAACAGCTTCCACTTTAACGCACTGATAAGCTGTCTGCATCAGTATAGCTCATACTTTACCTGGGTCCTGGGTTGTTACCAACTGGCTTTATTGGGGTTCTATTTCATGTTTTAATTGTTTTTCCACTCAACCTTTTTTTTTTTTTAATGCTTTTTATCCTTTAGGAAAACAGGCAAGACCCTTGAAATACATTTTTTTCTGGAAGGGGAAAACAAAAACCCACCCAAAGGAAAATGTTACCACACCTGAAAAAAATGTTACCACACTAGAAATTTGTTAAAACACATAATAAACTAATCAATTTATACAGAAAATCTTAGTTAGTATGGATATAGAGTAAAATACAGGTGAGTGTAACAATGCTGAAGGTATAAATATAGGTCATGAATTCTCTGATCTATTAAGATTGACTGAATGTAGCTAAGATGGAATGAAAATGCAGCTGAATACCTTACCATTTGCTTTGTTTTCTCCCTGAAGAGTAAATATAAAGTGTTTATATTGTGACTTTTTTGTGGGCATCACAAGTTCTTTAGCTTGCTGACTAGTACCAGCTGCAGTAATAGCTTATAATATTTATTTTGGATCAAAGATAAGACCAAGAACAAACATCATGCTGTGTAATGCTGAAGCACCAGTCTAAACCAGGCTTTTCTTGCAGGATTCAAGCTGAGCAGTGAGGAACTGTCTCCCCAGCCATCATGGCCCTGACCACATGTTATTTATAACAGGCTATAGGCACATATGGAGGAAGCATTTGTATTTGTATCCATTTTCTGTAATAATTCCAAAAAGCTAATTGTTTTGTTCCCCTTTGTAACTCCACTAATTCAGAAGCTGCTACTATTTCAAATCAAGGTGAAGAGGGAAGAATTTGTCCACCCTGGATGGTTTCAGGGCTGCCTAGCTTATCTACAGATCCATGAAGGGTGCTCCTGTGAGTGACAATAATTTGCCCTCTGGGTTTGTGGCTTGCAGGGAATGACTTCACTCCACTGGGCTGCATTTCACAACAGACCCCAGCACACCCAGACTCTGCTGCACAAGGGAGCAGACCCGACTCTGGTGGACAAGGACTTCAAAACAGCTCTGCACTGGGCAGTACAGGTGAGCCACAACACAGCCCCAGAGGGATGTTTATTGAACTGAGCTGGCTATCGTGGTGTCCTAAATACTCCTAAGGAAGTAGTTTGGGCTGTGCAACACAGAAATTGGATGCTAAAAATGCCCACTAAGCCCCAGCATTTTGCCAGTGGGTATAGATCAAGGACCTAGCCTTTTCTTTGGAGACCAAGGCATACCTAATAGAGGCTTAGCCCTGTTGCCCCCGAGTTTTTGTTTATCTCAGTGGGATTACGTGTATGCTTCATGCTGAACTTGTGCCTGGTTTTTTTTTCACTAAATCAGGGTTGCAGAAAGTAGAAGCTTACTTGCCAAAGACCTTTGGGAATAAAATAGCATAAACACAAGTTAAAACACATTTAAAGAGCTACAGCTATGAAAGAATTATCTGAAGGGTTGAGACCCTACTTCTCTGGAGACTGGAGAAGACGTGGAGCTAAACACATTTCTTGTTGAGCTGTATGTTTCTGTCTCATGTGCAAAAGAGCATTGTCAAATACTCAGGCCATCATTAGAGAAATAAACCATACAGGTTTAATACGATATTACAAACAGTATTATGTAATTGTGTGAATGATATAAAATACAGCATAATTTAATGGTTTTCTTAGCTTACTACAGAAAACTGCCCAGATGAAATTGTATGTTTTCACATGCTCTCATATCATAGCAAGTTCCAGTATCAATGTTCAAAACACATTGATACTGGACAACAGGTAAGCCAAAATAGAACTCACACAAAATCCAGCAACCTTTTCGTACAATTACCAAATATTTGCATTCTCATCTTTTGGTCTAAGTTTGCTCTTCTTAAAAGAAGTGTCAACAAGGAAATTTGAAATTCTTAACTGCCATATACTGTCATATTTATTACGGGGTAAGTACATCTGAACAAATAACCTGTTTTCTTTAACCACAGCCTCACAAAGATGATTAACATATAATAGGCCTAACTTTTTTTTTTCTGAAGTAGAGGTATATTTTGACCTCTGCAACTGGTATTATTTCAAAAGTTTTGTTCTTCTTCAAAACTAATCAGTATTAACTTGTACTTGTTATTTGCCTTAGAAGATTAAAGGTATCTACTCTACTACCTGTTGTGCATTTTCACCAGGCTTATTCCAGTTCTGTCTGCTTCCAGTGGGAAACATCTGAATCTCATGCAAACTCCTGCATGATAGCCAGTGGTCTATATCATAACTCTGGGAACAAACTGTCTGACAAACAGAAAGACAAAAGTGAATCCACTTTATAACCTTCAGAGTTCCCCTCCTTCTTTAAGCTTTTCCAGATTCTGTATTTTGTATATTTCATTATTTGATTCCACTGTTACCTCTCACCTCCACCCTTTTCTCACAAATGTGCAGAAAAAGTCTTGAGAAATGGGGAAACGGAAACTACACAAAACCCACTTGGCCTCAGGTGGAAGGAACTCACAAATGCCCTCTTTTCCTTTAAGCTGCTCCCAGAAATCAAGAGGAAGTGTGCAGAATAACACACACACACTCCTTTTTCCCTTATTGTGACATTTCTGCCATGAAACCCTTTAAACTGCTTCTTCCATCCACATGCTTCTCCACATTCTGGGTCCAGAAGTGGCAGTTGAAATACCAGAGCATGAAATAGATCTGTTCAGATTGCTCTTACTCAAATAAGAGCACTCTTGGCCAAGAAAACAACAACTTGCAGCCAGTGCTCTCTGCTGCCCACTTAGGCCCAGGATTTGTATACCGTGGACAGGCACAACTTTCTCTGCTGTGACAGAGAACAGAACAACAGCTCTGCTGAAGGGGATCAGCATTATGTCTAATAGCCTCCTCTGTGACTGCTGGAAAAGAGATATTTTTCCTTTAAGAATTGTATAAATATCTTCAGAGAACAAGAGGCTCACAGAGCTCCGGCAGTACAGCTGCAGGGATTATTTTTGGCTGAATAGGGCCCTGTGTTTAATTTCTTTTTTTTTTTTTAATGCAGTGAGGGGAAGACCAGACACTGTACAGAAACTTGTTTCAGAAGTTGCAGGAAAGAGGCAGTTTGTTCACGCTGGGCTGAAACACACAGTCGGACCATGTGAAAATCATTGCCCACCATTCAAACCCAAATTCATGGGCATGAGACATATTTCATATGAAATCATTGTTCCGTGCTGGCTCTTTCAAAGACTGCTTGTTTGTGGCTTTGTCTTCCTTCAGGCATCATGGGATGATGAGTCCCATCGATATGACCAGACAGACCTTGTCCACACCAAGGTCTGCTTTTTCGTGAAGCTCAGATCTCCTGCCATTCAAGTTCACATCTTAAGTGCAAATGTATCAGTGTCAAAAACACTGATTATTACTGTTTGCTGTGAGAGTCTCATGCCACATTTTTTATGCATGCAGAATTTCTATGTGCTGGTGCAAACAGGCCTATTAAAAGTGTCTCAGGAGGTATTTCTCTCCTTTCACTTCAGCCAGCATTAATTACTGTAGCGAAAAGGAAACACACCTTTGAAATACAAAACTGTTAACTGATACAGGGACAAAGGGTAAAGCCATTCTAACAATTCTACATAACAGTATTATTGAAATCCTGGTAAGATATAACATATACCATACAGCATGCACTCTGATGCTACACAGTTCTATACTGTAATGGTATTAGTAGTACCTTGTAAACAGCCTGGGAAGATTTGGAATCTTGCTACATTGCCTTGCCATTTGTCATGATTTTTACCAGAATTTTATTTGTCTCATTCTCAAAGTCTCTGGCTCCCACAGTCATATGATTATGTGAAAATATCAGCTTTCCACTAAAGGATAAACAAAAAAACAGATTTTTTTTTTCTAAGTTAAGAAATACAAACCTGTAGGAATAAAAAGAATTTAACTAGAAAGAAGCTGTTAAAAATAACAATCAGCCATGGGGAGATGTGCTTATGATTTTTTAATAGGCTGATTTGGAGTGCAAAGTTTTAAAAAATTAGAAGCCAGCATATTTTTCCATAGCAACAATGCAGTTATTTCATTCCTCTGTTTCCAGAGAAGAGAATGAAATACCTGTATATCTAAAACACACTGTAAAAGAAATGCATGAGTGAGTATTAATTTGTGTTTGGCTGACCAAGCATTGCAGTTTCTCTGTAATTGGTTGGAAGGTGAAAGCACATTTAAATGCCAGGATCTCTAGGAAAGAATGTCTCTGTTGCTGCAGGACATCTTGAGGACACAGCTGGCTATCCAGCCATAGCAGAGGAAGGGGCCAGAGAAATCAGTGTTGGCTCAGAATCTCTCCCAAGGGATCACGTCTCTCTGCCCAGCACCCCATTTTTTCATGTGGGCTACATACAGTGGAAGAATTCAGACAGACTTCCAAAGTCATCTTAAAACTCAGTTAGTGTTTCTCTACTGCAGATATATCTGTTGTTGGACTGACCAGAAAAAAGTGCATTTGCTGGGCAGGTTCACTGTCTAGTTGGTTTCAGGCAGATTTCTTTCCCTGCAAAGTTGAACTTCATTTCTCCTTGCTTCATGCAGTTTTCTAAAGATGGCTTGAAAGGAAGAATAGTGATTTCCTTTTTTATGTCACTAAGCTTTAAAGACAATTTTGATTGTTAACAAACAAGTCAAAAAGATATTAAATTTTCATTTTTTAAATATACGCTTTTAAAATTACTTTCTTTTGTAAATATTGTCATTCCAGCAATGGTACAACTCTTGCTTGTGGAGCCTGGAACATTAAATAGCAGCGGGGATCTTCAGAGTGAGCTGTCAAGTTGCAAAACAAGATAGAAGAAAATTTGCAAATAGTTTTGAGTAAGAAATAAACTTGCTCTAATACCAGCAGAAGCTTTTTCCATAAAGTGCCCTAAATGTTTGTGACACTGTCTGCAACAGTGAATTAGTTGTGCTTAAGTCTTGGCTCTGGCACTGAGGCAAACTACCAAGGGACAAGCTGTGTCCCTGCTGCTATACTCTCTTATCCAAACAGGATGATCATACACAGCCCACCTGCTGGGAATGATCTGGCACCCATATTAGCTCCAGGAACTGGTAGGGAAAGTATTAATTTGACCCAGGCCTAAACCATGCCAGGGAGGATTTTAAGAATTATTTGGTACAAACAACTAAATTCCAGTGCTGAAGGATGTTCCTGAGTGCTACTTTATTTTTCTATGTAGCTGCAACTATTTCTTCATTTAAGTTGTTACAGAATAAGCTGAGTTCTGTGACAACTGGAAGAGACTCACAAGGATCATTGAGTCCAGCTCCTGGCCCTGCACAGGTCACCCCAAGAGTCACATCATGTGCCTGAGAGCATTGTCCAAACTCTTATTGAACTCTGGCAGGCTTCGTGCTGTGACCACTTCCCTGGGGAGCCTGTTCCAGTGCCCAGAAACCCACTGTGAAGAAACTTTTCCTGATATCCAACCTACACCTCCCAACACAGCTTCAGGCCATTTCCTGGGGTCATGTCACTGGTCACCACAGAGAAAAGAGGTCTGTCTGCCCCTCCTCTTCACCTTATAAGGATGTAATAACTGCAGTGAGGTCTCCCCTCAGTCTCCTCCTGGCTGAACAGACCAAGTGACCTCAGCTGTTCCTCATATGGCTTCTTTGAAGTCCATTCACCATCTTTGTTGCCCTCCTTTGGATACTCTAGTAGTTTAATAACTTGATTAAACTGTGGCACCCAGAAGTGCCCCCAGCACTCGAGGTGAGGCTGCCCCAGTGCAGAGCAGAGCAGGACAATCCCCTCCCTTGCCTGGCTGCCCATGCTGTCCCTGATGCCCCCAGGACAGGCTTGGCCCTCCTGGCTGCCAGGGCACTGCTGGCTCATGTTCAGCTTGCCATGGACCAGAAGCCCAGGGCCCTTTCTGTGGCACTGCTGTCCAACCTCTCATTCCCCAGTCTGTCTGTACATCCAGGGCTGCCCCATCCCACACACATAATTCAGCACTTTCCTTTGTTGAACTCTGTATGGTTGATGATTGCCTATCTCTCTAA